CCGAGTATGGTAAGATATGAATTTGGTTTTGTTTTAATTTATTTGTTCAATTATATTTAATTGTGAAAAATCAATCAATTTTAGAGTTCATTCATCTTTCTACGAGTATGGTTAGATATGAATTTGATTTTGTTTTAATTTATTTTTTTAATTATATTTAATTGTGAAAAATCAGTCAATTTTAGAATTCATTCACCTTTCTACATGATTCAAGAGTATGGTTACATATATTTTTTTTTCCCGAAACGATAGATTTTATAGCAAAAAAAACACATAATTACAACTAGAAAGCAATTAGAATGAGCCAAACAGCCACCTAGCCGAATACAGGGAAACCTACACAAAGTAGACATCAGAATTACTACGCTAACACACCCACAACACAAACAACCTAAACAAAACACTCTCATCTGGAAGAATCAAAACACTCCCATATGAAAGAATCAAGCTTCAACAAGAAGAATCAAAACACTCCCACCTGGAAGAAAGAGTATGGTTAGATATGAATTTGATTTTGTTTTAATTTATTTTTTTAATTATATTTAATTGTGAAAAATGTGGTATGATAAGTTGGTAATGAGATTTTTGAGTTTATATTAAAATAATATTATAAAATAAAATAATTTAAGTTGATTTTTACGTAAAAGTAAGAGATAAATAATGTGAAATGGTGATTAGTTAAAATAATGTGAATTTGTGAATGACGAATTCAAGTTGTGATTTATCAGAATTATTGATTGATATTATTTAATTATATTAATAATATTGACGACATTAAAATTTATTAAAGTTGAATTAAACTCGAGTGTGGATTGATTATTTTTTTTTAGATAAAGTTGATATCCAATTAGCTTGTATGCTGCCTTTTTTTTTAGTTGGCACATAGCATTAGTGGTGGCCAGTCACGGGCCAAGGCCCGGCCTGGCCTGGCCCGCCGGGCCACAGGCCCTCCAACACATGGTCCGCGATCGGCCCGCTAAAAACCAAGGGTCGATTCTATGAACCGGCCCGAACCGTCGGTTCACCGACCCGGCGGTTCACGGGCCGGGACGGCCCTTAAAAAAATAAAAAATTTTAACATGTGGCCAGCCGTCCGACCCGGCCCGGACCGGACCGGCGAGACCATACAAAAAAAAAGAACCGGGACTGAACCGCGTCCTAGTTCAAGAAACATACAGAGATTATTATATAAAGAGATTGTACCGCAATACCATTTCAATCGAAATAAAATAATCAAGTTGTTTAAGCACAAAAATTTATTGTTACAATTATATATAGTTCAATAATCTCTAAATACCAACAGTCAAGCCCCAAGGATCAAAACAAGAAAATCCATCTATAGAGATTCAAATTCAAGTCCAATAGACATATAAGTTTGTACTTGCAATCAATGTTCTAAAAATTGGCCTAGGCCTAGGCGGTAGGCGGTGCCCGGACGCTTCCGATTTGCATAAATCGGCAAAAAAAATTGGCAAGGCGGGCCTAGGCGGCCCTAGGCGCTCCTAAGCGGACTTGACGAGCTCGGCGGCCAGGCGGTTAGACGGCACCTAGGCCGGCATAGGCGAACCTAGGCACCTAGACGTGTTCGGCGGCAATTTTTTAGTTTTTTTTTTTAATACTAATTACATTATTTTGTTCTCATGTTTCTTTATAATATATATTTATTAGTTGAAATTAGGTGTGTCAATTTATTATAATTGAGATAATTTTATTTTATAGGTAGTTAAAATAAATAAAAAATAAGGTATTTAAAATTGATTTCTAGGCCCCGACTAGACGCCGCCTAGTCGCTGATCAAACGCCTAACAGACGTCTAACGACTTTTAGAAGACTGCTTGCTTATCGGAATAAAAAATCAAAGTTGTTTAAAAGTTGTTAACCAACTAACTAAAGGTGCCATTGTGGCTTTCACACGTGGCCTTTCCCTCCATCTGGTTGACAGTGGCATAACTCATAAGAGTCGATGGGGTGCGCCGGGACCCATATTGACCCCACTTATACCAACCTCCTTCACGGAGTTTGGTAAGCAAGTTCCTTATGGAGGTTGGGTTTTTTTTTGGGTGCGGGTGTCTCTTTGTTGGAGGTTGTACCTTTCAAACACAGATGTGCTTTCGATAGGGTATTGTGCCAGTTGACACTTTTGTTGGGTTCGATATACCGTACGGAACAGAGTTTACAACGGAATTTAAAATTTTATAAGTATTTATCTTATAAATACTTATTTCGTACATAAGTATAACGATATAACGAATAAGCATCATTTAAAATCTAGTAGCTTTTACTAATTTTGATTTGATATGTAATTTATAAAAATTACCTTTGTTCTTGAACTCCTTCAAAACCGACGATGTATGAGGAAATCAATTCCCGATTTGGTAACGATCACTTCTTGTGGTTACTCACTTTAAGAATCAAAATTGTTGGATTTTCGACGTACGAACCTAGCGTACGCGCAGCGGAATTTTAAAATTTTCTTACCAACAACGAAGATTCGGCTATAGCTATTCGATATGATCCTAGATCGCGTGAATGATACAACGAAAACTTACCGTTGTTCGTCTATGTCCTCGACTATGGTATCCACGCAATCCAGTTTCCCGATGCACGATCCAACGCCAATGAATCCTCTCCGGTGAAGAAGCTAGGAATCTTCGATCCGGAAAGCTAGAGAGTGTTTTGTCGTTTGATGTTAGATCTCTCAATCTCTAAGATGTTTGGGATCTCTCAATCTCTAAGATGTTTGGGATCTCTCAATCTCTCTCTTATCGATCCAACGATTAATCATTATGAAAAGATAATGAGGTATTTATAATTAGGTCAAAACCTAATTATATGGGTCTTAGGATTCCTACAACCCAATATGTAATTAGACCTAATCCAATTAGTATTTAATTAAATATAAATCTAATTTAACTTAATTAAATATTTTCTATCAAATAGAAAATTATCTCATTACTAATTAAGTATAAATCTAATTTA